TAAGTTGGAAGAGATGGATAAAGTTCTATAAACTATTGTCTAAATGTGGGAGAATTATTCACTTATCCTCACCGATTCTGCTAGGAGCGGCTTTCCGGCAGCTCAAATAACTCATGTGTTATGTAGGCAGGGTACTGTAGTGGCAAACGACACGCTCACGACGCGAGCAGTCCGGAGGATAAGTGCAGGATGGGCTCTCGTTCAAGCTAACCAAGCCTTTTACACTCCGGGGACGGTGAATTGATACCAGGTAAATTGGTATTATCTGGGAGGATAAAACACTGACTTTTACATCGGCGGCCCCCAAGTCATTGCATATGCCATGTTGCTTTCAATGAGCCACTACAATTCTGAATGGAAGTACAAGTGTTCCAGAAAGGGATTGATCATCGGCGAAAGCTTTATCCTTTTTACTCTTTGATGTAACATGCATTGGGTGAAATAAAAGCAAGTATTTCACTAATCGTGAATGGGAGTTCTGTAACGCAAAACAAAGATCCTCCTTCAATCAAATAAGTGTTAGTTCTTAAAAGGACCTTCTTTCGCAGGCAGAGGTGTTGTAGTGGAACGTGGCGTCCCTCACCACGCACGCTCCCCTGTGGTCAAGAGTTGATCAGCTCTCGTCTGAATCAAACGATTTTCCCATCTCTCCAGGACCGGTAAAATGGTTGTAGACTTATCTCGAGCGATAAGTGTGCTGCACTGTTCATCGTCTGGGTTCCGTAGGTTTATGTACAGGCCAAATCGCTTCAAGCTACTGTATTTTGATCGTGAGCTTAATTTGTGGCTGTGAAAGGAATAACAACCTTTACTAATTGCTTATTTTTCTCGTAATGAATATTTGGCTCAAGTTTAGCTTTCGTTGTCTTGTGCTACTGTATACAGTGCGCTGTCGTTGCTTGATCACATTCGCTTCTAGAGCAGGACCTTTTATCGCTAAAAGTTCCCTAAACACGCAATTCTGCTAACGAGGCCGCCTGCTCAGTATTCAGAAAATGCATTATAATTATTAGTGATCGGAAAGAGGCGTAGTTGGACGGATGTTCACTTGCTGGTATTATAATATATCGGCTCTTTTTCTCATCACCTCACTTTTACTATTCAATGAAGAGAAATAGTAGTGGAGCAACCGCGCCACTAAGAGCAACAGCGCCACTAAGAAGCCTCTAGAAATGAAAGTTGGGTGTTGTCATAGCCAGAGGGCGGAGCAGTGGCGCTTGCCTATCTCACCTCACTTCTGCGCATCAAATCAACGCGAGCATGACTTTGAGTATCTTTACTTTACTTTAAGTATCGAGCTATCTCTTTGCTTTCGACCCCCCACAATAATTCTCATTTATTAGATTTTACAACATAGTTCATTAATCTCAATTTCAATGATTTTATTTGAGAACCGTTTTTTGTAGTACTTACCTAGAAATAGTACCGAAGTGTCATTATTCGATGAAATATGAAATACCTTTATTTACCGCTTTGCAGAGGCTGTGAAACGAAGACTGAAAGTATCTATCTATTCTTAACTGCGGTGTGAGGGAATGTCGGAATACCGAATGATAGGATGCTAGTTTCATTGACGGTGTGTTATATCTATGAAATTATATATGCACGAGCTGACAGGACTGGTAAATGTGAGAAGGTTTGTGCGTGGTGAAAGTCGAGAAAAAGAAGCGCGTCATCAGAATCTTTCATTTGAAACACCCCCCCCCCCTCCACCAGTTCAGTTTCTCTGATGCACCCCTTCCTACCTAGCAGGGTTGGTCCTCCAGCTACCAAAAACGGTAGAATCGCCATATCTGCTATGAAGTGTGCATATATAGCATATCTGAAAAGGGATAAAGTGCTAACGTATTTGCGGTTGACCACTGCTCTTCTGCTCTCTCCTCGCCAAGATAATGTCCGCGTGTTTGGTTGGCTCCCGTAAAGCTTTCTCCAAGATAGCTGCGAAATTTCCGGGGTAGAACATGAATTTAGCGCCGTCGTAGGGTGGTAATCCAATAAGACTAGTAGGCAATTAACACTGAAAAGTGCGAAGGAGCACTTGTAAATCAGTGGATGAGGATTTTCATCTATGTCTAGGAGGGAAGGAATTTCGGGTCGGTGAACCCGCCTCGGCACCATCTTAAATCCTCTCTCCGATAGCTCTAACACAACCTCGAGACAGAAAGGCAGAGTTTAGCAGATAAAAGCCCGTGATTTTTCCGGCAAATTTGCCAGTATGTTATGCGTTCACTTGATAGATTCGAGAACTTATCAATTCTCAGCTTGGAATATTGTCAGACCGTTTTATTTTGTTTCACACTATCACGGCAAGGAGGGAGCAGAAGAGATAGGTGCCGCATGGTGCTCCCCCCCCAATATGTCAGCCGCGCCTGGGATAAATTCGACCGAAAAATTTTCTAGGCTATATAGACATCACTCCTACACTGTGGAGATGCCAACAGTGAGTGCCCTGAAGAGGAAGCTGTAAATGTCGTGTGGTCATCGGTCTTCATGGTTATCTGTTCATTATGTCAATTTTATGTCTCCACTATCTTGCTCTATGCAGTTGTAAATTGAAGAAGTGGGTAGAATAGTGGATCCCAGACTAATCGGGAAGGTCTGCCAGCTTAGTATAGAATTTTGAATAAAGACCCACGTAGATTGGTAGGGTCTGGAATACTGTTTACCAATATAGAAACCAAAACTGCTTCCTGCAAGTTTTGGTTTCGTAAGGGTTAATATAAGCTTTATCAAATTATTAATATAAGCTCCTAAAATTTGCAATTTTGTGATGCCTACGCATTGCACTCATGGCACATACACTTCCTATCCCTGAGACGGAGTAGGCGTGACTTTTGAGGGCATGGCATTAGGCCTAGGTTTCTCGCTGGCATACTGTCAGTTTGAATACAGCTACTATTTTGTTCTGTGTTAGATGTAGACATGATTACGACTGCTCCAAAATGAAAACATCTTGCGATAACCTGGGCCACCACCATTTCAAAGTTAAGTTACACAGCCACGCCTATTCGATCTCACGGATTTTCTGTATAAAGAGTTTGAAGATTCCGCCGACAGGCGCTAAGGATGACTGTAGCGCAGCTAGCTAAGGTCTCATAGGTGGGGAAGCTAGTAATAATGGGCCTTCGGCCCTGCCAGTGCAGAAATTTTTGTTTCGTTCACATCTAGCTTAGCCCGGAGTTTTTTATAGCTCTTTCGGTACGCGTGATATAAACGAGCGCAGGTTCAACTACTTTCCGTGACAGCCGTTGTAGCAAAGGGCAAATGAAGCGCTCAGCGGCCCCAGCATACGGTCAGAAACTGAAGCGCCCTCAGGGCCCACAGACTTTCGCCAGCACAGATAGTTTCGACGGTGTCGTTAATTTCATTCTATTCTGTGTAATCACGGTTCAGAATTTCGTCAGCAAGCACTGTGCCCCAGAGTCCTTCAGTTTCTGGCCGTATTCCTCTTCGAGCGCATAAAACTCTTCATGAAATGGGATCAGTTGTTCAAAGAGAAGCCGCAGTGAGAATACCCCCTTACCCTTGAGTGAAATTTTTCGAAGTTGTCATGGTGTGATCCGGATGAAGTCTAGTACCTAGGGGTAGTTTGACCTCCTAAACATGGGTATCATCGTTTTACATAGAATGAGCAATTGTATGAGTTTTGCCTGCTCATAACTCGCCTGTGAGATGCAGACAGCAGTTTTGGCCTCCATAATTGCTCTATCGACAGACTCAGGTCCCCATTTAAATTTCCATGGTAGGTTGGCGGATTTTCCTGGTAAGTTCAGTTTAAAATTGTAAGCAGAGAATTCTGTGATCACATTGGTAAATACCTCTTTTTTCATCTGTCAGCATCAGCGGCTGTATCGGCGGCATCGACGATGGCGTTGATGTTAACGGGGACTAAAGTAGGAGGCATAATTGACGCGACCGCTTCTTTACGACATCGATTATGTGCTGCGATACCCAATAAGCGATCGTAATCGTATTCGCGCCTCAGCGATTATTTGCATTTCTACCTGATTTCGAATGACGATAGCGGGAGTGGAAGGAAATCGCATGTACTCACCTCCATACAGATGGAGGTCGACGTCGTCATCGTCATCGTCGCGGCCGCCGCTTGCGCACCGCCCTAGCGACAGACCGGTTTCGGCCTTACTTTGTCTGAGAGCGTTGTCGTTTTTTTTTCGTTTATGTCATTACCTAACAACGCCCATTCACAGTTCTTCTAGTTGATTGATTGATCGATCTGGGCGACCGATCACGACGAAAAGGCTCGAATGCCCATGTGCTGTGCATGAAATTTTTTTTGCCGTCGAATGGATGATTTGTGAGTAGTTGTGCAATTACACCAAGCCATTCACCATGGTTTGAATTCCGAGCGCGGCACTAGTTTCTCGCGTTTTTACACTGATGGTGAAGATGAGGGGAGAGAAGAATGCATTTTTTCTTTGGACGATAAATCTCACTTAGCATTTTAGTCAGTATTTTGTTCTTATAACGTAGTTTATAGGTCCTTAACGTTTTGCAACATCTCATTTTCAAGTTGACGTTTTTCTGCCATCTTATTGTGTAAACCATCGTCTTTTTAGATATTCTGGTCCTCGATCTAGAACCCACATGACATAGCCACTGTGTTTTTAATGGCTTTTGATTCTGCTCATTTTTCCTCCGTTCAATGTCCGTTCATTTTAAAATCAGGCTTGGTAATATCAGAATGGCCCTCGCAATCAGTATTCATTCTGCGGATTTCCACTAGAAAGGAAAAAGCTCAGTCAACTGGTGCTATAATTCTGTTTCTCGTGTTCTGGTTTACTTAATAGGTATGAGCGGCTGAGAATGAAAACAGGTGTAGGAGGCAGATTTTGTCATCAAAACTGACTCGTCAAATCATTTTCTTTTAGACTTCCTTCTCGCTGTGTAACACATAACGTTTTGTTCGCGTTCAGTAGTAATTTCCTTGTCCATGGCATGGAGGCGGCAATTTTTAACGTTTTCGTTTTCCAGAACATCCGATGTCCTTCTCTTGTGGGGAGCATTTAGAGGCGGTCCGGAAAGAAATGACTGTTTTAGCTAATCAATTACAAATGAGCAAACAAGAGGTGGAGAAGGTGAAGATGGTGGGTTTATAGCTGTTATTTCATCCATTTATGTACTTATTATGTCATTGTGGTGTGCTGTATGTGCTATTTTCTCATGAATCATCAGCTGAAATATTTTATTTCTCGTCAGTTAGTGGAACTTCAATTGGGAATATTAATGTTGCAGTGCGTTTTGCCATATAACACCAAAAAACCTTTAAGAAAATTACAAAATCATCTCATAAAATGTTTCTGGGGCTGCGATGTTCCCTTTCTCTTCATGAGGTAAATACTTGGGTGGTGTAAACGGAACATCATCACCGCTCCATATTTAGCAGGAGGAGGGGTTGCCTAGTTTGTTTCAGGAGAATTTCTTGTATAGGATATTTTCATGTGAGATAACTGGCTGGACACAAACTTGATTATTGCTGTCATAAAACGAAAATATCCCACGAAAAGTGCCGTCGCCGTCGCTTAAATGATGTGCAGCCGGGCCTACTTCTATCCGGGACGTAAATATGTATACATCATGTGTAGTTCTTGTCGAATAATAGTAGTTCGAATCATTCAATTTTCGAGTAGCCCGTAAGTTGAATAGAATGTTTTGTATGCGGTTAGCTGTGGGGATCGTCAGGACGAGAAGAACGCTCTCAAGAAATTCAAAGAAATTCATTACAGTGCTTGCGAAAGTGCGCACAGCTCGAAGGTAAATGAGGGGTCGGAGGTTCCAAAAGTGATAATAACTGTGGCACATTCGTTCACTACCGCTGGTAAAGGGGACTCTTGTAGAGTTCGTGCCTCAGGTTCTTCTTCCCGAAAGGCTAATTGTTGATTTTCTCGTTGATTTAGCAAAACTTATTTGTTATGCAGTTTTTGTTGGTTCTTTTTTAACTCAAACTGTGCTGGTTGTCTTTTTATTACGCGATGCATAACTGAGATGCCTGTGACATTTCAGGACACGACAAGTTTTCAACAACAACTCAACGCTTTAAGTGAACAGGCACTTCAGAGTCAAGTGAGTTTTTATTACTTTGAGTTTTTATTGAACTTTCCTTACATGTTCTTGCTGAAGATTTTGTTCCGGAAAGTGTGAGCAACCGACATCGAAACTTAAAAATTTCTCTTCTTTGAAGTTGATTTGGTTACTAACGCCGAAAAGTTTTCCAAAAGTGCAATTCAATTTGAAAATTGCATTTTGCAGATGGAAATGGTAAAAAACCAGGAGGCCACGAAACGGTTGCATCATATTATATCAAGTTATTTGCCCATGTTGCCACCGGAATATCAGGTAATTGTTATTTCATTTTCTTTTATAGACGAGCTGGTTCAGACTGATTTGTTGTCGTTGTGCTACAGTTCCACGTTTTATTATTTGAAGTGGAAAGCAATACAAAGGTGCAATAGTCATGGAACATTATTATATAATGTCGGTATTTGCTGTGAATTTTGTTGTCTTTCCTGTTAGAGCACTATTTACCCTTTACTGCCCCAGCCATCCGGAATCGGGCCTGTTTTTGCCCGACTTTTTTTTCTCCGCGGACGGATTTGGTAGTTCGAAGTAAGAAGTATTGCCTGCTGAGGTAGTTCGACCTCCAACACCGAATATCACATTTGTTTGACTCCTGCGCCTCCTGGCGCCTGCACCACAGGCGCTGGTGATTTGGAGTATTTAGGCGCCGACGTCTGTGTGAGCGCCAAGAGGTTTCGTGCCAAACGGATGTGAAATTCGTGTTCAGGAGGTCAAACTACACCTGGAAACAAGTTTTCAGCGAATTTGGTAATCTAGGGTTTTTTTGGCGACGGCGTCTGTGGCGCGGGCGTCAGAAGTTTTCGTGCCTAGCGGATGTGATATTCATATTCACGAGTTCAATGACCTCAGGAGACAAATTTTCAGCTAATTCCCCTTACGGAGAAAAAAAAGTCGGTCAAGAACTGGACGGAATTCGATGACTGGGGCAGTAAAGATTAAACAGTGCCTCTGTTAGGCATTGTTCACAGTCTGCGGTCCAGCGTTTCTCTGGAACGCGGCGGTTCGGCGAAAAGCTTTCGATACGTATCGACTGGCGGTTGGGCGAAGAGTCTGGCGGTTGGGCGAAAGGGTTTTGATACGAATCGACGGGCGTTTCGCCAAACCGCGACGTTTTTCGCCTTCGACGAAACGCTAGCCGTGGCGTTTTTCGCCAGCGAAATCGATACACATCTATTGCTTTTCGCCCAACCGCCGAACCGCGGCGGTTCGGCGAAACTAGCGGTTGGCGATTCTCCGATCGATGACTATTTTTTGCTTTTCTCCCAACCGCCGTTTCGTCAGGGTCGCAGACTGTGAACAATGTCTTAGGTTACTTATGTCGGTATATTCTTTATTCTTCTTCGAAGGCGTCCCTTTGCAGTTTGCTAAAAAGTTGTCATTGATATATTTCTTGATTTATTTCATTTATTTGCACTATGAGATATGCCTTACGTTTCTATTATTATTATTATTTATATTGTCCAAAAAAATTAGGGGAAGGAGCACAAGCTATCCGTGGCCTGTTTCCTGAGAAGAAGAAGAAAAAATTATCACTGAATGCTAAGGTAGTCCTCCCGTATTGGTAGATGGAGTTCGATTGCGAGTTTTACCTTGCGTACGTAGAACTCATCATAATGCTGGGACCCATTGAGATTTGACCCGAAGCGAACAGGCGGGCAACCTCAAACAGAGGATTTCATCTAAGTTTAGGATCATTTTAGGATCATCGAGCTTACTGCAGAACAAGTGACCAGAGTAATCAGTCTCAAAAAACCCCACAGGATTGAGTCCAGAATATTCACTGATGCTTCTAACGAGGAGGAGGGACCAAGAGTATTAGTGTTAATGTAATTATATATCTTCTTCCTCGAGGAAAATTGTATGAGGTTCTTAGAAAGCGAACTACAACACAACAGCAACTTCAAAAGTACTGAAATTGTAGGTAAATTAGCATAAATGATCCAACTGAAGAAGCTGCAATACGCCACTTCATCAGTTTTTTTTTCTGAAACTTTTGCGGTTATGGACGACAGAATTTTAATAGGTGAACGTTGTTACTACCCGCACCACGATAGAGCACAAAATGTATGTGATACAATCTCACTTTTGATGCACAGAATCTTTTATTTTTTGATCAAAAGGGGAAGTTTATCCCCCTAATAGTGGCAGACCCTCGTAAGTTAAACACCGTTGGCACGATGGTTTCCTACTTAGCCTAAAATGCTAGTAGGGCGCTGTATAGTGGGGAAATGGCGAAAGAACGGAGTGAAACGGTCAAAATCCTGCGAAGAAAAAGCCTCCGTTCTGACTTGTAAATCGATTTCGGACGAGTTTCCCGTAGGCATCTTACCAATCACCGCTACCGAAGATACGGCTGCATATGTGTACCCATGTATGCATGCAGCATCACGGCCGCTTCATACCAATCCCTTCGCTTCATAATTTGCTTAGCAAATGAATGAATACGAGCGTCAGGAACGGTCGTCCATTTGTGGGCGGGCGGGCGTGGCGGGCGTTTGGGACGTAAAGTTGTGGCTTGATAGGGCCCTTATAAGGGCACCTTCCTCGGGGAAACCGCTATGCAGCGCCTGCCCAGGGTCGCGGAATTCTATCCTGCCAGGAGTATTGATCCTAGTCGTCTTGAGGGATTTATCGTGCCAACTGCCTTTAAGCTGATAAACGTTGTGCATATCTGACTACAGCAAAAAAGGAGTATTTCAGGCCTGCCGAGGGTGCTTAGCACCGAATTATTGCGTCATATTTCTAAAGAGCTTTTTAGATCTCTTGCTCTTTTTAACCTCTTTGGAATAAACTTTTTGGAGCTACTTGTTTTTAACATTCATATGATGGGGTAATCATTTTCAGTATGAAATAGACGGCCGCTTTCTCTCGAACGACTTGCAAAAATTGAGCGGTTTGGATCATTGGTTCACCCCTCCCATCCCGTATTCATCGTACCGTTGTTCTGTGTTTCGCACATTTCAGAGATGAAGCCCGCGCTTCGTCAATGCGCGATATCCTTTCCTTGCTTAACTAGTCCGGTCCGCAATATCAGAGATACTCCCACTGTTGCGAATCCTGGCGACGGAGCTGTGTTCTCTTTAAGTTAATAAAGGTGCGTCACCCGTAAAAGATGTTTAGCCTTCTACCCTCGCTCGTGTTGCAGTTAATGTCGTCTTACTTTGTTGTTATTTGATGACAGGGTGAGTATAAATCTTACCGATCGAGTTTTGCTGCCTGTACTCGTGCCTATACTGCTTTCGTTTGGTGCTTCTTCTTGAAATGAAGCACATGCTGTCAAAACCAATTCATACCGCAAGGTTTTTTGTGAAGCTGTGATCAGGCAATGACGCATGCGCATTGGTGCATTAGTTTAGATTACCCTAATCCAAATTTGAAGCGAGATTTTTGTAAGCTATTATATTCCCCGTTACAAGCTTTGTTTTTACGCCTTTCTTTTTTGCTTCCCCCTTAGTGTTAGGTTACATTCAGTGCTCGGTGAAGGAAAAAACGAGTAGTGAGCTCAGTGGTGCAAAGGGACCGCAGGGTATCGACTCACCAGCATGTCCAGGAAAATCGCACAATGAAACTGGAACGGGGTCGCTACTCACATCAGGGTGCTGGCGATCGCTTCCTTTTTTCTTTACTCTTTCTCTCTACTGGTGTCATTACCCTCTACAAAATTATAGCTGAACACCATTAACCAAAGCCAATCCAGATTTCTAGTATTTCTCCAACAACGTAATGAAAGATTCCCCCCATCAACACAATGAAAGTGTCTTAGAGCGCGTTCAGACTTCGCGATCGCGCGATCGGATCGCTTAAATCGCGCGATCGGATCGCTTGGATCGCGCGATCGAATCGCGCGATTGAGATCGCCGATCGCGCTACTGAGGGTGAAATTACTGCGGGAGGGGGTTATGTGCGTATATGTTTATTGATCCTGCTCTCTCTCTTTTCCTTCTTTCTTCCTTTGTGTACATAACGCCCTCCTAATTTTAAAGAACGTTTCGAAATATCTTTGAGTTATTTATTATTTCCTATGTAAAATAGTACTAACCAGTCGGATCGCACGGCTGACGCCGAGCTCTCCTCCTTCTTTTTAGCTCGGCTTCGCCGAGCTGGCCTGGCTTCGCCAGGCGCACATCATAACGGGATGGAATTAGTTAATTGTATGAGCTGCTCATATTGCGCGGTAGTGGTCGAATCAAAATAGACAGAGTAACCTAGCGAAATCTGCACCCCTCAGAGTTGCGGAAGGCGTGCTGGTTTCGGCCATAACGCCCATTCTATACGTAGATCTTGGAAGTAGATAGGAAGTACAGAATATGTGTTGCACAGTAGATAAACACATTCCGTTTTTATTACCTGCATCACAACACCAACGATGGGCGATTAACTTGTCATTAACATGCAATCCACCTGCTAAGGTTGCATGAATGGCTGCAGATGACAATATTTAGGCAGCGTTCATTGAATATCTTACAAACTACTTCGTTATTCGTTCTCATCAGTGATTTAATGTTGAAAAGCAAAAAAAATATTTAAATACTCGCTGAACGCATAAAGTGTGTTCCATTATTGGAGTTTTTGATTTCTCCAAACTTCCTGTTTCAGGCGAAGTATATACCCCCCTAGTGGGATGAGTACATTTTCTAGTGCTATCAAAGGAGTGATGGCTGTGGGAAAATTTCGCTTACTGAGAGGCTTTTTTGGCAGTGTAGTGGTCAGAGATGTCGTGAGAATGTCCCCTTATCTTTACTTATCAATTGATAAAATTGCTTGTCACTCGTCATCAATGTCGCTATCACTAAAACTCCATAATTTCGTGGTGTAGAGGCTCCAGCGTTTGATTACAACTGCATCGTTCTCTATCAGGCCCTATCAGCTGTTATCATTTCTTGTCACCCGCCGTCGCATTCTCCACCTTCCCCTTGATATCATTTGCTGAAACCAACGCCTAACTGATGCTGTGTACCGCGTTATGGGTATGTTGTCCTTTCCACTCTAACTCCCTTTATCAGCGGCTAGCAGTTCTTGTCACCCACATATTCCTGTGCCATAACCTATATCATACCTTGAAAAAACGCCCCAGTGTTCCAATCGGACCGTCCCTCTGCTTCCTTCTCTTGCGCATGCTCAGGCCGGGCTGAGTACGCGCAAGGGAAGGAAGCAGAGGGGGGGGGGGGCGCCCAGTGCCCCCCTCCTCTCGGCCCCACCCCACCCTGCCCCCGCACGAGCACACGTCCAGCTGCCACGCCAGCAGCTCGTGCAATGGCTCGGAGTGTACCGAATGGTTGTCTTATATAGCGGAGGCC